TTCATTCTGATCCACACAAAACAAAAATAATTGTTATCACCAATTAAAATACGCTCTCCCGAATTTAATCGGTGACACATGTAATAATGATAATAATAATTAATTATTGAATTTAGAATAAAAAAGAGACAAACTACAACATGAAATCGACCAGTATAGAAACATAAAAGAAAACGAAATATCTCTCAAAGAACAATTACATAAAGCAGTGGTGCAGAAGACTATAACTGTCAATGAATACCAAGTTTTAACCCTTTCTTCCACTCACTCTATATTTGCCTCATTATGTTAAATATTCTATTGTAACAATTTACATTTTTTGTATCATGAGTATATACAATGAATAAATTAGGAAAATAACTAAACATTAACAGTGAACAAATCATAAGTATTTTTGCTAATTATGTTATGTTTAGTAATATTCAGATAGATGAGATTATCTGTATTTTCTTATATCATAAATATGTTATTATTTTTTAAAAAAATAAAGAATAACTTCTATTTTTTTACCACAATTAAAGTATTTGTTTGTAGTAAAGTGTTTAATTCGTTTTTAAAGCAATTCTTCACAAATTCTTTACATCTATTAACTATCTTGCTTTTTTTTTTTTTTTGAAATAATAATATGATAATCAATATATTTACAAATCGCAGTAGAATCCATATGGGGTTGATTCAAACGATTCACAATTTAGATTGCAAATTTAAAAAGTGTTTCATTTGGATTTGTCATATTATTTTTATTATACTTTTATATTTTTTTATTATTTTGTTTTACCATCTTAATTTCTCCATAGAGCATCCAACTATTGGCAAATTTTTTATAAATGTGCTATTCTTAAGCATGTTGAGCATTATACTATTGCTTCAATGACAAATTACACCAAATTTTAGTAAACCGGAAGTTTACTTTGTAAATAACTATATTTATTATAATTAAATGCTTAATTAATACATATCTTCATACTAATAATAAATATCAATCGAAAGTAATTTTTTAAAAGATATTTATGTTAAAGTAATAAATAAATATTTATTTTAAATACAAATAAATACTAATAAAATATTTAATACTTGATTAATATAAAATTTAAGTATCAAATAACCGTACTTAATAAATATAGGGTGAATGTTGGATCAACTTCGTGGAATTAAATTCCATTGGACTTTTTTTGTTTTCTCCGATTTTTTTTTTTATAATAACTATTTCTCGTTATAGTGAAAATAAAAAATAAAAAATTACACATGGAACCGAGGGCCCATTGTAACGAGTTCCGATTGTATCCATGTTATTAGATATCATTCTAATGTTACAACTTTATATATCAATTTATTATGCAAAATAATCCTGGGGTATATGCTATCACTAGACACAATTTTAAAGGAGCACTTGTTACTTTCTTTATTGAAATAAGGGTTAGAAGAACTGTTGAAGTCTCTACACTCCTAATTGTTACCACAAAAGGGATCATGATTGGTGCAATCATATAAGAGGAATGAAAGGATGGGTTCTACTAGATCTAACACTCAAACTCAATATGCTAGATTATTCATTTTATTTTTATAAAATAAAATTTTCTTGGTATTATTATTACTTGAACGATGTGATTATTTATTTATTATTTATTTATAAATTTAAGAAAAAGCATATGTGTTGACTCATAATCAACTTCAAAAACATATAATAGACAAAGGTATGCCACATACAAAGAAAGGATTGAACAATAACAAAAGATATGTCACATTTTGTTTTGTTTTTTGTTGATTCAAGATAAATAAGGTAGCAATTGCATTGGGGGATACAAAGACATTTTGTCACTCTGGTATACACTTTCATTGTTTTACTATAAAAAGATTACCGTTCACGACATTATCATCTTCGTCCTCTTTTATTTCTTTTTATTAACCCATTCTCAGGTTGCATCTATCATTTTCTTGGTAGGATTTATTTTTCTTTGTGGAAGTTTTATGATGGTAGATGCAGTAATATTTTTTTTCTTTTTACACAATTCGTGGATTTCAGCCGACATTTATTAAATGAAAATCCGAGTCCGGCTCAATATTTTTATCAAGTAAGTGTTTAAGACTCCTCCACAACTTCCTATCAACAATTAATTTTTTACTTGATTGATTTTTTGTTTTAAATTTTCCAGACAGGCTCTATTGTATTGATTATTTTATCGTAGAGATGAGATTTGTAAGTTTTATGACGAAGCAAAAGGTCAAAAAAGAAATTCGCTTGTAAAAGAAAGAAAAGCAAGCATTTTTTAAATTTTCTGGCAAATGTTTAATCTGGATTGGTAATGTTTTACTGTATTTGTCAAACACATGTCATACTATAGACTATCAAACTCAGAATTGTCTTCAAAATAATAAAGAAATTTCAATTCCCTTATGACTAATACGGTAACGATCTACGCGATTCTATAAATTCGCCCGAACTATATATGTATATCAAATATTAATATTACTAAACATTCCGCGGCTATTATTGTTTATAGACGAGATAGACGAATTCATATTTATGTTTCAAGTTGTTAATACTTATTAAAATTGTGATCTAATCTAGAGTGAAAGGATAGAATTTTTGATAATCCAGATTGAAATATCAGGGGTATATAGATAAAAATAAATTTATATAATAATATAGTAATAGTAATCCTTTAGTGTTCTTAATTTAGTAATGTCACCTTATTCCAATTGCTGATTCAAATAAAGCATTTTTTATTTCTATTCAAAAGGTCAAAAACAACTCGACAAGTCAGGAAAACGCCGATTTTTCTAATATTAATATTAATACCAAATGAAGAGAGAGGGCTTGTTCGCTTGTTGTTTACTCTTATACATGGAATCGTCATATATTTACTATATGAATAATGCATAATATATATATTGTATAGAAAATGAGATCACGCGCACTAATTGGCAGGTGATTTATGTTGTACAGGAAAGGAGTACGTGTACATCATACTGAGTTGTAATGGAGTTTGTTGAATGAAGAAAGAATTTTTTTTCCAAAAAATAATTCCGAGATGGCTCGGAAATGAGATGAATGAATGGAGTGATTTCCAGTTATCATTAAAGGTATCAATCAAAAACAAACAAAATGAACACAAAATAACAATAAAACACAAAAGTCGAACACAAATTAATTTATTCATTTTTTTATTGGTTATTATTAAAAAAAAAATGGCGATATCCAATCGCTAAAAATAAAATGAAAAAAAAATAATTAGTACACTAAATAAAGAATTTCTGTAAATATTCCATACATCTTCCTTTTAAATATTCTATTTAAAAGCATTACGATAAAAAAGAATTTTAGAATTCCGGAACATAAACAAAAAATCACGCTCACTACCAAATCCATAATAGAACTTCCATATGGAACTAATTTTTATAAATAATAATAATTTTTGCATGATTAAAAAAAATAATATAAATAGTGGAAGAATTTTTCTGAAAAAAAAAAAAATCAAATTCTTAATAATAAAAAATATTATTTCTACAAAGAATAAAAGAATTCTAATAGGAATTATTCAAATATTTTTCTGAACCTCCAAACCTTATTTAAAATAAAATTCAACATAATAATAATATTTATATATTATAATAAATATATTATAAATAAATATATAACACACTATATAAAAAAATGTCGGGTACATCAATAAAGCTCAGTTCATCATCCATTACATCAGATACAGATAATCAACAAACAAATCAAACAAATTCCCAATGGACTCCTGTAGTTATATTTCCCGAGAACAATACTATTTGTGAAGAGCCCGAAATGATTGGTGATTGTGTAGACGATGATTTCTCATCGGCCATATTCAATCGTAAATTAGAACGTTACAGTAAGTGTCTATTTATATATATATATTGGTCATCACAAAGATTTTTAATAATAATAATGTCTAATTGAATAATAATCAAAATTTTTTTTAAATAATTAGAAAAATTACGTGCAATACATGAAAGATCTGGTCGGTTAATCAAAAGAACTTCCGATTAAAAAAATAAATTAATTAATAATTTGCAAAAAATATAAAGTAAAAATAGCCATGCATACATGCACAACATTAATATTTAATATTAATAATATTAAAGTCATACAATAGAGACACACCGCATACTTTAATATTCATACACGACCTCTGACCTTTTTTTTACTCTTTAATTTTTCTTTTTAATAAAAAAAATCTTTTGAGCATCTATCTAATTTATATATGATTTTCTTGTATTATAAAATTTAAAATATTTTAATTTATTTGTAAATTATTTTTTCCCCCTCATATAAAAATAATAAATGAATTTTTTATATACATCTATCTTAAAAAAATATTAATTAGTAAAATATAATAAAATGATATACTTGTAAAATGTATATAATATATATAATATAAGAGATGATAACATATAACATAAAATATAAAATATAAAATTATTGACAAATAAGAGGCGTTGTTTATTCTCTGGCAACAACGTAAACCAATATTTCTCGAGACATAGTAATAGCCGTAGAATGGATTGGTATTCCGGCATTTTCATCTACCAATTTTAAATCACTATTTCTATAAATCGAAGCCATCAAACTCTTCAGTTCAAGTATCGCCAATCTTCTACCAGGACAAATTCTTAATCCTGCACCAAACATTAAAAATGAATTCTTGGTAATTTCATTTTCACCATTCAAAAATCTATCTGGATTAAATGTTTCTGGTTCTTTCCAATACTTTGGGTTGTGATGTATTGCCGGTACGTTCAAATTAAAGTATGTACCAGCCGGCCATTCATATCCTCCTATTTCTTCCTTACGTGTACTGTATCTTGCCACCGTATTAGCAATAGGCACCAATCGATCTACCTCTTTTATGATTGCATCACAATACTTGAGTTTACTTAAATCATCGTGTGTTATCTCACGTGTTTTATTGTCACCAAATATGGAATCTATTTCTTCCACCATTTTCTTTTTCACGAGTGGATTTTTGGCAAGAAAATATGCAATAACACAAAACAAATTTGCCGTCTATTTTTAATGTTTTTAAAAAATTAAAAATTAAAAATTAATTAATTAATTAATTAATTAATTAAAGCTGCATAATAAAAATATATTTATAAATAAATATCCTTACAGTATCGGTGCCACCCAAAAGTGCATCCAACATATTAGAACCTATTTCCTCATCAGTCAATGGTCTGCTTAATCCTTCACCTTCAACAGTTTTAAGATGATTAAAATCACGTGGAGTATTGGCAACAAGCATTGATGTTAACATGTCATGACTTTCTATTGGTTGACCCAATGGTGTATTTTCAATTTCTTTTCTACGTTTTTTTACAAATTCATCAATTTTTCCGCTCAAATACACTCTATTATCAATTATTTTTTTGGATTTGGCTTTTACCATTGGCAAATAATGTCTAATAATACTTGGCACTGCTATAAAAATCGGACCGCCAAGAAAATGAGTTCTAACTCCTTTAATAAATCTTTCTGAATCTTCCAAAAGTGCTGATGGATGATCAAGATGTTTGTCGCTGAGTGTATTTAAATAATACGCCATTGAATAGGCTCTTTCGCCTGTCGTCACCACTGATATAATATCATGAGTAAATCTATGAACCCAGGCATCGAGATTGATCGCAACCTTACCACCATTGTCGTTATTTAAAAGTTGCCAATATTGTTCCATTTCTTTTAATAATTTGTTTGACCAATCAAGTGATTTATTATCAAACCCAGGTGATAATATGGCTTGTGTGAAGAATTGTCTATTATATCTCCATGCTTTTACGTTATAATTCATAATTAATCCTTTGCCAGCCATACCAAGTTCATCAAACCCTTCGGAATAAGGCAATCTAATCAAAAAAGCATTGTTTTTAGCTGCTGAGCACAATTTATCAATATTTTCCACATCACAAAAAACTATTCTTCTAACTCCCCCAATATACAACTCAAATGTTGCTCCATATCTATGATGCAATTCAATAAGATATTGTTGTACCATTCCATTATTCCTATAGAATCCAAACAAATTACCAACAAGTGGGAATGGAAATGGCCCCGGCAATGGATTGATTCTTGTATAGTACTTGTAATAAAATTGCGTCACGTAAATTATTACGAAAGTTAGAAAAAAACCTAACAAAGAATCAATTAATTTTAATGTTTCCAACGATGAAAGGATTTTATGATGTAAAGACATTTTTTTTAAAATGATTTTTTTTCAATTAATTAATTAATACGTGTGTGTGTGTATGTATGATTTTTATATTAATTGGGTTTTTTTATTTTAATGTTAATTTTTTAAAAACGTAAATGATCCAATCCATTCTTCTTATATAAACTTTTTTAAAATTTAGATTTGATAACAAAACATTTGAATCCGAAATTTAACCGAAATCAACTGATTCGGTTAAATTTCGGTATCTTATTGTCGATCATTTATTTTGAATTTCATGAATAAATATTACCAAAGTCCATATATTAGGAATAATTAAAATGTGTGTGAAAAAAGAACGCGTTCTAGATTAGATGTGGTGTTACATTTCTGTGTCATATGCTGTGCACGGGGCGTGGACAGAATATCAACAACAACACAATTATTCATTTCTGTACCTTTGTTATTATTGTTTAAACTTTCTTGGATAATTTGTTTCATTCCTCGTTGGAATTAAAATTCGTCAAGAAGCTATAATCATTTTTAATATGTTCTGATTTAGAGCGTCATAATATGTTTCCCGAGTGCTTAGATTGTTGGGGCAATTTCTGATTAAGATTTGGATTCGAATCAATAAGATAGTTTTTGTCAGAAATAACATTGAGACTTGTCAAGTGTAGCCATATATGATCTATTTGGTAAATGGACGAGTGATAAATATTCCAATCAAGACATAAAAATGATACATTAATATTTAATATTAATAAACGCACATGTAATTCATATATTAATAAATTTCCTGGTAGTTTCTCAAAAGAAAGTTTTATGTTATTGTTGTAATTAATGCTTGCTCTTCTGTTTCACTTCTAGAATAATGATTCTTTAAGTTATATATTAATATCAAATTTAGTCAACCGTTACTAAATTAGGAATTTTTATGCTGCCGTTAGGATGATTATTCTCTAGACATGTGAATTTGTCACTCATTTTTGTTGTGTAAATCAATGACCGAGATATACCATAATTTTGCTAGCTTTAACAAGACCGTATAATAAATTGTTCTTAAACATTAAAACCTGGTGGCTCGAACAATCAAAGAAGTTGATTATCAAGCCCTTAATATGACTACCATCCATCTGATAAAATAATAATCAGTAATATATAATAATATAATACATCTATAAATATATATATGATCACTTGCTATAGATTTCACCCACCTCATAACCAAAATCAATTTCATTGACAACAGCTTCTAATTTTAATATTTCATTTATCGAACGCATCCTACCGAATATCAATAACGAGTGTTTACAATGAACATCAGATAGAGGAATTCCTGCATTAATTATCAATTTCATATTATCAATGATTCATTCATTGTCTGAATAAAAGATTTCTAAAGCAATATTGCGGGCTCGCTGCAATATTAATTTACAAGTGTAACAAATAAGTTATGTTACACAGATTAAATACTACTATTGATATACTTAATTATACTATTGTTATATCAGGATAAATTTTTTACCGATCATTTTTTTTCATATCCATCTTTTGATAATGTTGAATTTCTTCGTAACCTCTATATTTAATAGTTGGAAAAAAAAAATTTCAAGCTGTGCATTTGCCATATAGTTAATTAATCCAAAAATAAAAAATGGTAACAACATTAAAGGACTAGCTAGCTACTCATACAATAAATAAATTCATCACAAGTTGGTTCTACAATAATGGTTGATATATCTAAGGCAAGCATGTCTGCTCTAGTGGAATAAATAGACGACAATGTGGGACTTTCTACCACGCCATTGGTATAACATCTTATGCTTATAAAAAAACTTTTTACGAACATCAAAACATAAATACAACGTTAAAACCTGCTATAAGAAGCTCGAAAGAGAATAACAAAAATATCTTGCCGGCGTTTCTTGGTCCCGTGTAAGAAATCTCAACCAGGCAAGTGGAAATTATTTTTTAAGATGATATACTAGGTTATCAGTTGTTTGCATTTCATGTGATTGAGAAATCAAGTTTCAAAGAAATAAATAAACGTATCAAATTGAAATGGCCCACCAAGTATTCGAGAAGGCATGAATGATAAATTAACCAGTAAAAAAATTTAAGGCGTCTAGTGATGATTTTATACTCAATTCAGAACGATTTATATTTTTACAGATATATTTTAGTATGGTAAATAAAATTGCTAAACAGCAACATCAACTTTTGAGAAACAAGGTAAAATTCTTTATCACCTTGATGATCATCTCACTTTGCGTTCCTTAACTTACGAACTTCCAAACCAAACTTGGAAATTAATTATGATTTTTTAAGAACATCATATTGAAGAAATTGTTAATGGTATAAGTAATGACAAAAAGAAGACAATCAACCAGAAACAACTCCAGAGCACAGCATCCAATTATTACCTTCTTCTAAATTCAAAAACCAATAGACATGGAACTAAAACAAAAAACTGGTGACCATTTCAACTGGATCGCTACAAGTTCCAACGTTGAACTATCATTGTTGCATATGTAGATGACCAACAATATGATTTAGGAAAAATGATGGCAAAGGGACCAAACAAGTATAATCACAAATATAGGGGAAACCAAATATAATAAAACCTAATAGTAGATATTTTTGTAATAAAACCTAATTTTTTGAACTTGCAGAGCATGCCTCTATATACAACATAACTGATTCATATTATTCCTTTCATATTAATATTGAAAATACAATTTCCGTGGTAAAAGAGTAATAGTAAATGAAAATTTCATCTACATAATTGAATACCATCGATTATGCGACCAAAGAATCTGGTACAACTCGTTTTGCAAAGTCTGTGACCCGCTGATAATAAAACCGACAGTGACAATTGAAAATATTACATGTGATGCTGATATTACGTTTAGTCAATTTCCAAAACGAATGGCTATTTTGGCTCAAGAATTAGGCTTAACCAAAAATGAGGCTTGCTTAATTATTTCTCATAATAATAATATAACATAAATATAAAACATGTTAAAAGCTGGGTAAAGTTAATTAATAATTAATAATAATTATTATAATTAATTTACATATACTTACTGTATAAAGTATAACGCCTACATTTGCTACAAAAAGGAATTCACAAGTTATGAATTTAATTTACATTTAACTGGTGACATACATGCTGTAACTGCTGCTAATAATTAATAGCTATATTATTATTATAAATATTCAATGTTATTTTATTTAATATTGTATATTATTTCTAGCTAATTTGGATTACCTGTTGTAGTAGCAATCAATCAATTTACGTATGAACAATATTAACAGTTGATTTTTTATACACACATATATATATTGTCTATATGAAATATTATTTATCATTATTACAAATAATAATTAATAATAGATCAGATACCCAAAACGAGCTTGATTTAATTCGCAAGGTTGCAATAGAAGCAGGTGCCAAAGATGAATTACCATCAATACATTGGTCTTTTGGTGGTAAAGGTGCATTACGGTATACATAACTGTTAGATTTTGATATCCCCAAAAGTCTTACCTACAAAGGGAGGGCGTTAAATTAATCAATAGATAATAATAATTTTCAAGTCGCGTTCATTCATTATACAGTATTGGCTCTGAAATTTTGTTCGGTGGCTACTAACTAACTACTTCCTCATTTTCTGCGCCACGTTGCCAAATTTTCAATAAAAATTTTTCCAAAATGTGAGACATGCGTGTAATTAAAAAATACATTTTTGTGTAAAGATTAAAGGACAAATAGTTTGATGAAAGACAAACTGAACCCGAGGCCTGATCAATAACCTTTGTCATATATTGTTTCTTCACCTTACGATCTACAAAAAGCTGATCTTTCTAAATGTCACTTCAGAGAGTTGAGAATTTCTCTTATATCTGGATAGAGGCCTCTTCCGTTGTGCTCAGACAATTGGCAGCGTCACTCTCAACTAAGACTAATGATTATATTCATTTAAAAATTTAATGTTCGAATCTTTGATTTTTTCCTAACAAATTAAAATTAGATTTGAATCTGGAAAGTTTGTGTATTTATTTAAATGTTTGAATTTATGTCACTGCATATAACAACAATAATAATTAAATGAATTATCTTATTTTCAATAATTGAGCTTGAACCATTCTCTGGCATTGATATCCAAAACTTTTATTAGGTATTTCAAATGAGACTCAAAGAAAAAATGATAACGAAGGAAAAAATGATGACGATGATGATGCTCCGGATGACTAAACAGTTATTTTAGAGTTATACAAGTTTTAAATAATTATAATTCATTATTTGGAATAATATTACCTGATTTGAAAAATTAAAATAGTTAAAAGACACTTTATTAGTCACAAAAAAAAAAAGAGGTTAAAAAAAATTTTTTTTTTACTATTAATATGTTTCAGGTTCACAAATGCAGATTCTTTTATTACTATTGCTCAGCCAAATTTGAAAGGATCATTTTACCATTATTTTCAATTTTCAACAAGCAATTTCCAATTTATAATATTCTTAATAAACCACCTAGCATTTTGGCCATTCTAATAAAATTTTGGATATAATTTCGGCAACTAATAAGATTAATTTTGACTATTATGAAAAACTATTTCGGCACTTCGGATTCGGCAATAATCATTATTATTATTATTATTATTATTATTATTATTATTATTATTATTATTAGAAGCAATTTTGACTAAACTAATAATTAGAATCATAAGATCTCTGATTAATAAATTATTATTTGTAAATTCTTTATAAGTTGATTTTAACATAATATGTATTATTATTAACATGTCTTTAAATTTTTTTGAATTTTAATAGATTGAGCTTACGAGGTAAAAACATGACTTTTAGAATCATCAAGTTCTATCTGCTTGAATATGCTTGTCAATAAATTGTTAATATGTGAGTTCTTTATGTCATAGATCAAATTTAAATTTTTAAATAATTAATTAATAACTGTCACATGAGAACTTTGCTAATACTAAGCAATTAAAGGAAAGAAACAAAGGAATAAGCCAGTTACAGATGATGATGACAATACCCAATAAAAGTCTGAAAAAGAAAGATTATGAAAATCAACAAAAAGCCAAGGAGCAAATAGAAAACGTGAAAAATCAATTAACATTCCTAAAAAAAAAAAAAAAACAACCCCAAAAGTGAAAAAGGTTGTTCAAGAGTTACGAAACAAAGAATTAGAAAACAATAACTAAAAAAGAAGAAATTGTTAAAGTTTAAGAAAAAGAAAAGGACCAAATGTTAGCCAGACTAAATATAAAGTTGAAGAAAAAACAAATTGAATTAAGCCAAATAACTCGGTCAAGCTCAAAACGAAAATAAGATTTTAAGCTTAGCATGAATTTGTATCTTTGGCTTGATGACTTTACCAATATTATATGGAGTAATTAAAAAATGATATGAAACAAGAAGAAACATGCCGCCTGTAATTACTGAATTTTTTGTTTGGTTGAAGTATGCATAATATAGAAACAGACCATGCTCTAAAAATAGAATAAAAAAAAAAAACTACATTTCAAGTAGCTTGCTATGGTTTTATGATTTTTGAAACAATATCTCAAAATGTTATTATGAAATTGGATATTATTAAGCCAATAATTTTCATTACAATTTCGTTTCTCACCCATATAGCGTTAATTGATTGACATCAGACCAATGAAAATGAGAAGAAATATGGAGCATACTGCAATAAAACCAGACAAAGTGAGACATTATAAAAACTAATTGTGATGATAATAACTAAATTTGATACCTAAAGTCTTAGTAATACCCATGTTCACTTTGTCTGGTTTTGTTGCGGCATATAAGAAATATACCAAGAGAATTCTAGTCTCAAAAAGAAAAATAAATGCAAAGATATTTATTAATATTAACCAAAAATGGAACTAATCCGAAACGAATCAAAAAAAAACTTCCCGTTTCTAAAAATAATATCAAACATTATGTCATCTCGGAGCTTAAAATAATGCGAAGAAAATATTCTATAAATATAACAATATTTTTTTTAATAAAAAAATTATTGATTTCAAATATTAAACTTTTAAAAGAAAAAAAAAAATGAAAAATATAATAACAAAATCATCTTTGTTAATATTGTTATTTTTCATAAATTATGTTTTATCGGCGCCGATAACCGATAACAATAATAAATATATAAATTTTTATCGTAGACAGAATAATATTGAAAATCCAAAAAGTAGTGCTCTACCTCCATCTCCATCTCCATCTCCATCTACCGATAAACCAAAACAAACGTAAGTAAAAGTAATTAATGCACACTCACTCACACATATATATCACGTAGATGTAATTATTTGATTTATTCCTTATTATTTATTTTCTCTATTTCCTAGCGCCAAACCTGCTGACGTTAATCAAAGTCCACCAGCAACTGATCCTCCAGGACAAAGTAAAAACTCACCAGATAGTGCGTCGCCACTACCGCCACAGCCACAGCCGCCACCACCATCAACTACCACACCAAATCAACCACAAACGCCATCACCTACCACACCAAATCAACCACAAACGCCATCACCTACCACACCAAATCAACCACAAACGCCATCACCTACCGCACCAAATCAACCACAAACACCATCACCTAACACACCAAATCAACCACAAACACCATCACCTACCACACCAAATCAACCACAAACACCATCACCTACCACACCAGGTCAACCGCCACAACAATCACCTACCACGTCAGGTCAACCGCCACAACAATTACCTACCGCACCAGATCAACCACAAACACCATCACCTACCACACCAAAGCAACCACAAACACCATTACCTACCGCACCAGATCAACCACAAATACCATCACCTGCAACATCAAATCAACCGCAACCACAGCCACAGCCAACAAATACAGCTGTCAATCCGCCAGCCACTACTCCAGTATCACCATCAACTAATACACCATCAAATACACCTGTTATTCCGACGGCCTCCCAAAATCAACAACAGCCAACAACTACAACTACTGTAGATAGTACACCATCGCCACCAATAATACCAGCAAACAACAACAACAACCAGCCACAATTAACAACAATATACACCACAAGCACACAAGTCATACAAGAATCAACTTCAACGACTTCAACGACCGATTCAAACGGAAATGCAATACAAGTTGAAACATATATTCCACCGAGTACTAAAGTCGTAGTCGAAAAAGTTGTTACCACGGTACCATCACCATCTTCCACTCCTGACGATTCAACAAGCGGCAGTAATTCATTATTAAATAATCTCAAAAATAATAATTATATGTCTATTGTTTTGTTTATTATTTCATCTATAGTTTTATATTTTTAAAGAAAAAAATAATTTAATTATGTATGTGTGGGTGTGGGTGTGGGTGTGTGTAGGTTGGGAGGGTTATTTTGAATTTGAAATTGTGTGTGTGATAAATTTTTGTTGTTTGATTAAATCATAAAACTGTCAATTTCGGAATGACAGCGTGACATATCAAAATCATGGAATTGCAATCCAAATGTAATTATTTATTATTGTTATGGAATTAACAAGTGACTCGAACATTCTGGTTTGGGTTAAAATAAATAATACTTTGTAAAACTTTTATTGGCGTTACAGATCCTTTGATTCCTCCAAAAAAAGGAATATAATGAATCAAAAACTCTTAAAAAAGATCCAAAATAAAATAAAGATAAGATATCAATTTTATTTATTATTTTATTTATTATTATTTTTATCCATCTTTTGCAAGAATGGAATAAAGTTCTTTCAAGTGTTTTCTTTGTTAATAATTCGCTGTATTAAATTCGACGTGTCATGTGATTCTATATATATAACAAGTTAATAAGTAATTAGTAATAGTGCATATTAATATAGGTTCATCCAAATAAAAAAAAATTAAAAAAAAATATGAGAGCCGTTGCATGTTAATGAACAACATTGCCTTGCAGCAGTCGATCCTTATCTAAAAACATTTTTAATTTTTGATGATAAATCGATCGCTAAAAATTAATTTTGATTTCTTTGTTAAGAGGGAACTCGTAAGTTTGGTTTGGTCATGTGATTTTCATATAGTAACAGGAGCGCAAAACTTTTTATCATTTGAAAAAAGTAAGAATTTTCGTGTAACAACACACATATCAATAATCGACTTATTTTACTTGCATTTTAGCATGTGAAGTTTATTTAACATTTAAATTTTTCCCTTTTTTAATTAAAAATTTTTTTCAAAAAACAAAAAAAAATACAAGTTAAACAAATTTTGGGTAAAGAAGATACTTTCGAACATATACATGCATAATAAATATTAACAATATTATCAAATATCACCATAGCTGTCATTCATTATTGATCATTAGATTATTAGTTTGTAATGTACAAAAAAAATCAATATGTACTCTTATTGATTTGCATTCCTTTAATATTGATTGTTTTCTTTGGTAGTCCTTGCACCTCCTCCCCAGACACCAAAGAAAATGAACAAGCCTCTTGTAACGCTCTTTTAAACAATCCAAAAACCAACAACATTCCCAACATCAACAACAATGAAACACTCGAGGAAGAAAAAAGTCATCACGATCAAAAACAAGGGCAAGAGGTGTTAAACAATGTTGAGATATTGGTTAAACCTTTTGTTCTAGCATTTCAAATATTATGGTCAATCGCGTCATATTCTTATCAAATAACCAGCATTTGTTTGTATCCAGCAGTCTACGTTTTCAAAACATTCTACAACACCTTTATTTATAAACCGTACACAGCCGTAAAATGGGTCATTTCAACCTTTTTTCCGTTATATTTGTTTTGTTTGACGGCAGCAGTAATTGGATGTTTCGTTGGAGGCGCTTCAGGCTGGCTTTCTGAAGTCATTGTTACTTTTTTAAATTCATCATCATCACCACTTCCAATCGATAACAATAATAGCAATAAGATGATTGTTGATGAAAACGATATGAATAACGGCAATGTTTATGAAGATATTAATAATAACAATGCTAACGACAACATGTATTATACTCATAATAATGATTACAACAATTATATTTATGAAAGTGATTTTAATAATAACAATTTTAATAATGACAATTATAATAATGCTTATTATGATGAAGAAGAACATAACAATGATGGAAATAGTTATTATGATGATGGAAACAGTAATTATGATACAAATAGTAATTACGACTATAATAATTACTATGATGGAAATAATAGTGATTATTATGGAGCAAATAATAATAATAATAATAATAATAATAATGGCGTTGAATATAACGACAACAATGATTATAACGACGACGAAGAAGATGAAGCAACCGCAACAACGTCAAGAATACAAGAAGAAGAGAATAAAAAGAAATACGAGAAATTGAGAAGACGCATTGCAGCATTGGCAGAGTTGAAAGCAAAAAATGGTGGTAGATTGCCTGATGAATTTATTGCAAAGTATCGTAAAGCTACTTCAGGATATAGCAGTGGTGCTGGTGTTGGATAAAAATAGTAATGAGAATGAAAAGATTATAAATGGTAATATTTTTTTTTTGCGTCTCTGTCAAGAATGATTTGTAAGCAATTCGATTCAACATTCTCCAACAAATTAACTCGCTCATTTGCATCACAGAGTCACATTTACTTTATTTGTTAGATTCATTATTCATTATATATATATATATGTATATTTTATTTTTTTTTTTTTTTTACAAATATGATCAAAACATTTTTTTAATACACAATAAAAATCATTGTTATTCTATAAAAATAAATATATATATAAAATATTGAAAATTTAATTAGCGATTTTTGGGGGTGTGTACATCTCAAAACAAAAAAGAAATAATAAACCCCGTGTGCATAAATCTAATTTTAACCTCATTTAGTAAAAGCAAGGAGCCTTCTCATTAAACGGATAAATATCACACTCCCTTAAAAATAATCAATTAATTGAAACAATTATTGTATGCAGGAAATTCCTCGAATGTAAGACATTATGTGATGAATTCATTCCCGCAAACTGGCATGGTAAATCATTGATGCTCAAAAAGACTAGCTTTTAGTACATAAGTTACAGTTGGTCCAACTAAACCAAAAACACCTTTATTATTTATATGAATGAGTTGTAAAAAAAAAATATGTAACCTTTTCATCTCCTTCCACTTGTGAAAGTTCTTAAAATCACGCTTTACCCCAATTCAGAGCCATATTAAAATAGATTGGTGCTGCTCGTTGACCGGACATACGACCAATGTTTGGCAGCAGTCAACGTTGATATAAAAAAAATAAATAATATTTACGCGAAGGTTCTATCGCTAAAGAAACCTTGAGTTCTTGAATAAAGACAAATTACAATGAATTGTCATTGGATCAACAGATTGGAGAAGAATAAGGGTGGTTGTTCATTCCTCAAAGGTGTTAAAAAAATATCTGAATTAAATTATGGTCGTCACCTCGTCATGAATCATCTTGGTGAATTTTACTTGTGCATTCCTATACCATTTGAAATTAAATTGAAGGGAGAAGAGGTGCTGGCATCATTTCTCTTTGATTCGGCGGTAATGAGAACCTTCATAACCCAAGCGGTGTGTGAGGTTATAAAATAGGGAAAGAGAATACGTCGCTTAAGCTTGCACCATGATAGTGAAATGGATTCTACTCATGACGTGAGCCCAGTCGATGCATGAATCTATAAGAAAAATAGTAATGTCATTTAACGTTTGTAGAAAAAACTAAACTGAAATGAAAGTTGAAAGTTGACTTGATTACATTGATTTAAAGGCCATTTACTTGTAGCTCCCGCGTGTATTCTTTGTGCCTAAACTGAGAAATATACTAGTAAAACGTATGGACGTTGTGAATGAATTTGGATCCTCAAATACCTTTAGAATTCCACCGATGTTTAAAGTGTGTTACCGAAACACAACACAACAAGAATCGCCCATAACGTCGGGGCTTACATCCGAGACACATTGTAAGCCGTCTAGGTAGGAGTTTGGGGATGACAGTAGATCAACAATTCTATTTTAATGTCTTTATACGGATTTTTGTATAATAAAATCGCAGAAATCACACTGTCACGTAATAACGTTATGAACAACGACATTCTTATGATCAGCATTATAAACCAAAAAAGCATGCAACTAAAATCTTTATAAATATTTTTTTTAATAATCAAGTGAAATAGGATTACATTGATCAACATTATGTATGTATCTTATTAGATTTAATTAGCCTAATACTTTTGGTGTAGCAATAATAATCACCCCCCGTAATGATTCAATTCCTTATCATAATTGCTATTTTATGGCAATAGTTTCGGTGAACTCCGGCTAAGGATATATACCTCTTTCTTCAGCTTACTATTTTAAGCCAAAACAAATGAAAAAAGGTTTTTTTATTAAAATTAAGTAAATGAAAGAACAATAATGGGAAATGACTTGAAATTATAAATAAATAATGGGACCTTTCATCCTGTTTAATATTTTTTTTTTTTTATTTTGTAAATAAATATTTTTTTAAAAAAAAAAAATGTCAGAACAAAATTCTAAAAAAAATTATCTGGAACACTTACCACCCGAAATATTACAAGAAATATTTATCCTGGCTGGCAACCCATCACTAGTACTAGTCTCAAGAATGTTTTACTATGACTTATCACATTCACCACAAACAAATATCATAAAAACTAAATGGTTATTATATAAATTTGATTTTGATTATAAGAAATCGTTATATCGAGGATTAAGGTGGAAATTTTTTAATAAGCATATTTTGAACCAATTAGATCAAATGTATTCGCAGTCACAATCAAAATTAATAGAGAAAGGTGTTGAGGTGGAAGAAGAGGAAGAGCGAATAGAAGATGATGAGGATGAGGAGGCGGAGGAAGTTGATAATGATAATAATGATAGAGATGATGATGATGACGACGGTGAAGAGGATGAGGATGATGAGGAGGATGATGATGACGAGGAGGATGATGAGGATGAGGAGGATGAGGAGGATGAGGAGGATGAGGATGAGGAGGATGAGGAGGAGGAGGGTGAGATTGTAAAAGCGATAGACGATAATATAAATTCTCTGATATTACAAGAATCAGAAAAAAAATATAATGATATAATAGGCAGCATTGGTGGTGATATAAATAGTAATATAAATATTATTGATAGTAGTAAAAATAATGACACAAATAATGATACCAGCGGAAATAACATCATACATAGTAATAGCATAGATAACACATTTAGTAGTACTGAAATCATCAGCACAGACATAATCGCTAACACTAATACTTTCAATGTTAGTACCTCAAACAACATCTCTAATGCCATCGTCATCGACAACAGGTCGAAACAAATAGCGAGAACGAATGAAAAAATAGAAACCCACATACCAATGAAAGATCGATTACTACCACGTTGGTTCTTTTCATCTTATTCACCGCCGCCGCCGTCATCATCATCATCATCATCATCAAAATCATCACCGTCATCAAAGCCATTATCAAAAATATCGCCGAAAAAACTTTCAGATTCTGAAATCCTTGAATTGGTAGAAATATTATTAAAACGTGGTGCGTCGCCAAATGATCCAAACAGTTATCCGTTAACAAAATCTTGTCAGATAAATAATCTAGACATGGTAAAATTATTGTTAAAATATAAGGCTGACCCAACTATTATATCTTTACAAATTGCTATAAAATATAACAATGAACCATTGATTAATTTGTTGATTGAATCGGGGATAAAAATTGATAATAAATTGATAACTTTTGCCGAGTCTAAAGCTTCTATTTTCCCGCAAACAATTGAATTATTAAAAACTTTACAACTTAAACAACTTAAAAATTAAAAAAAGATTTTTTATTTTTTTTTTTTTTTTTCTTATTTTCTTTAAAAAAAATATGTTTTTTTTTTTTTTTAACAAATAAATTCTTTGAAAGACCTTACACAATGTTAATAAAGTAAAAACATTAGCTTATAATCTATTCCTGGCATTAAATGACACGTATTGAGAATTAGTCTCAAAGAGGATATTTTTTAATATATAGATTTCCTAGTGTTATGTTTTTAAATGGGCCGAACATCTTTGGGAATTTGAAAAAAAAAAAGGATAATTCTTTTCAAACGTGCATATATATTCTTTGTTTTTAAAAGGTTACATTGGTAAAAAAAACCCCCAAACTTGACTTACAGTTTTAGTTAATAAAGGTCAACATTTTGATAAAACTTGCAAATCTTAACAAATACTTAACTAATGTTTATAAGTGTCACGGTAAACAAGAATGACGAACAAAACTATTTATTACGGCTCTGTGTTCTCTCGCCTTCAGGGGAATAAAACAGGTAAAGATGAACTGGAGTCATATAATATTTTCCTTTGGGAATTTATATTTTATTCTATAACAATAAATAATTTGTTTAATGGGCTAAACCAACCACATGTTATTTTTACAAATCCCGTTATTCAATAAATCTTTCCCGTAATTACTATAATTGTACGTTTTACAAAAAATTTTAAACAAGAGAAAAATGCTGGATAATCACTAAAACATAGAGGAGAAATCTTAATTTACCAAATAATGTATAAGCGATCGGTTGAGGCGGTGTAGTTGTACGAAAATTTTGCTTAAAAAGACTTAGATAGTTAAATACAATAGTTAAATTTGTTCGCCGTCTTGAAATAAAAACTTTTTTATAGAAATCGTTTAGATCAATTAGTCATCAAACATAATAATTTCTAATCAATATAAAATAAATCTCTATAAATATATCGTATTATCGTGTTTTTCTTCAAAATAAAAAATATTTGCTAAAGATGTTTCAATCAAATAATAATTATAATTACATTTTTTTGATTTCTTTCTTGTTAAATATAATGATAAGCATTAATTTCGTGATGGCTGATGGAGAGATTGATTTCAGTTACAGTGGAGCAAATGCTGCAGCATATTGGTACAAACTGGAAAATTCATCGGAAATTTGTCTTACGGGCAAAAAGCAATCTCCAATTGATATTAGTCCTGACGATTTCAAACGTCACGCTAATCCACCCGAAGACATTAAAGTCGAGAAAGCTTATGATGTTGATATAGATTACGACGGTCACACGATCGAGATTTTGAATGGTGAAAACGAATTACCTGCATCGTTTAAATTGGACGGAAAATCATACGAATTGCATCAATTCCATTTCCACACTCCATCAGAAAATCTAGTCGATGGCAAATATTTTGATATGGAGGCCCATTTCGTTTTTAAAACTGATAGCACCCCGAATGCAAGTTTGTCTGTTGTGGCAGTTTTGTATGATATTGGATCAGAGAACCAATTCTTAATTCCGATAGTTTCAAATGCAAGTTTAATTTATTATACAACAAAAATTATTATTTGCATTGCATCACAAACAATAATAATAAATTTCTAATTTATTTAAAATAGATTCCAACTGTTGTTAATGAAGTAAAGAAAATAAAAGAACTTGATTTGCCACGCGTGTTTCACGATATTGAATTTATTTCTAAAGTAAGTTTAACTAATCTGCCAAAAAAAAAAAAAAAAAAAAAGTATTTATTATGCATATTCTATCTGACTTTTTCTTTTTCTTTCTATTCTTTAAAGGCATATAGATATTCGGGAAGTTTAACCACTCCTCCGTGTTCTGAAGGTGTCGAATGGTGGGTTAATACTCCGATCCAATCACTTAATTTAACTCAATTCAATGCAATACGTGATATTATGGGATTCAATTCCAGATATGCACAGATTAGATATTAATAACATAACAACTCATTCTATTATATTGTACAACTATTTATGTATTTAATAAATTTTATTTTTGATTATTTCGTTTCCCCGTTTTATATTTTTATTTAAACCATTTACATCGTCGTCCAAATTTATCAAAACCATTCATTATCCGCCACCATAGATCTTCCGATTTTCTTGTACCAAATAAAAAAAAGCCAGTAATAATTGATACAATGAACCACTTATTTTCATACATTGCAAAATATGCTCACAAATTACGTAAAAGAGATGCAATTAGATGAATGCAATTCGTTCTATGGATTACATAAAATGTGAATCTTGCATAATAATTAAAATTTACCACTATTTTATAATAAAATTCGTGTAATTAAATACAAAAAAAAACAAAAAAGCAAAAATTTAATCATGGGTAGTTACCTAATTTGTAGTACCAGTTGTTCACCTGACTCAATCAGGTGACTTTTTGACAAAAAAAGAAGTTTTAATATCAATTTTTATGGTAAAATTTATAATAAATCGAATAACTTTAAACCGTGATAAATTTTTTTTTTCCCAAACAAAACCTTTTATAGTTTTATTGCTCAAGTAAAGTTACGGAGAACTTTTCATTCTAACCCATTTGGTTATAAAAAATTTTTTTTTTATTTAGCAAGAAAAAAAAAAAACTCTGTAATCTAAAAACTTGACCTATCTACTATTATTTCCTTTCATGTTTGTTTGTATCTCCCTATTTGAAGGCTCTGGCACAATTTTTATTTAAATAATTTTTATACAGAGGTTATATATGTTATTGATCGGCATTAGTTAACCCCAATTAGATTAAAAATTGGGATATTGGGGAATCGAAATTAATTTTGGAAATATGTATATATATATATATATGATATTGGAATCATCATAGTTTCTTCTTTTTCTTCTTCTTTTGGCGCTTTTTGTACTGCACCAATTATCTGCTCATCATCGATCATTTCGCAATTTCTATTCTAAAGTCAACATTAATATATGTGATTGGACTGACTGCATTTTCTTCATTTTCCCAATTGTGACAAAACTGCGACGATATATATCTTTGTGTTTACTATCATCACCTTCCACAAACTTTTTAAAATCGAAAACATCATTTAGTAACCTAAACCAATCGCTCTTTACAACCTTTTCCCTTGTTCTGTTTATTTCTACAGCTTTACAGATGCTTACAACATCTAAATATTTTAATATATCAATATTTCTATCGGAAGGTTGTTTAAGACTCAAAATTTTTTAATCTAGTCGATAGTGTAAATTGATTAACTCAAATATGCTTTTTAATGAACTTGCTGTTTCTTCCCTACCCAACGTGTCTCGTCCTCGTTGCTCTCATTATTTTTGTCAAATAAATAAAAAAAACAAATATTTTATTTAAACTAGACCACCATTTGTTTTTTTTTAAATAACTAGAATGGCTCTCGAAGCAATCATACTCTGATAATGAACCTTTACTTCTTTTGCTTGCAAAGGATTTCGACTTTTTTTTTTTTTTATATATAAATAAAATTTACTTATAACCAGAATAGCTCTTTACCTGATTAGTGAATCTATTCTTCCTGTTACCTGTCTTTTTTTGTTTATTTCTTTGCATGCATTTGACATTTTTTCTCAAATAAACACGTAAAATATATATATATATATATCATCGGGTCTGTATGAATCGATTTTTCACCTGATTTTTTTTAATCTATAAGTTAAGGTGTTTATAATTTAAATATATAATATAATTTAAAATCAATACAATAAATACCATTATTATTATAATTGTAATTTTATTGAAGTTTCAGGTTGGGGAGGATTTGTAAAATTCAATAATCTACTTCTATAAACAGCATTTGGATAAACAGTTGCTGTAATTGTTGAAGGATTAAAGGGGGTTTCATCTGCTTCCTTAATACTCTTCTCATTTTTTCTAATTCGTTAAGCTGTTATTCAGAATAATTAGGCCGGTTTGATCGATTTGCATCAATTGCATCATACCAAAAACTAATAATTCTAAAATTTCTGCACATCTGTGTGTTAACTTAATATAGTATTATCTGAAAACTAGGCCTTAAGCCACAACAGACCTTTGAAAGTAGTATGTGATCGATCTTTTGAATGGTTTCGTGTTTTTGACATTAATATTAATATCACAAGGCTGAGTAAGATTTCTTATATAAACCCTCTGACGCAACATATGGCTCCACGTGAGCTTGACCTATAAATTACTAAATTCAGAATGATCATTTAAAAAAATAAATTATTTATTAGATGATGTTTTTAAAAGTAAATCAACTGATCTTAATCTATATTCGTTCTATTGGCGTACTCGTAGCTAATGTAACAAACAATAATAAAAATATATGATGATAATAAGTAATTGCTATACCTGGTATTTCTAAATAATCTCGGACCATCCTTGGATAGATTTGGATACTGAATTTTTTTTTATTATTTTTTTTTTAGGCATAACACCTTCCGCCACAAAAGAACATCAGTTTTACTGTTTACAATTGGTTCTTTAAGACAAGTTTTTAATTCATCTTCAATCAAGGATACATAACTATTTATTTAATTATTAATATGAAAAAGTAATATATATTATAGAATTATTGTTTAACATACTTGTGGCAATTATATAAATTCGGCCATCAGTTGTTTGATAATATTCTTTGACTTTTCCTGGAACATTCTTTATATTTTGTTTTGTGTTTGAATCATCAATCGCATCTTCTATTTTATCCAACATAAAAATACTGAATGCAAATGTGGTACACCAATTTCTCGTGTAAATAAAATTGCTACCCTGAAAAAAGTTTGTGAATGATGTTTTTCGTTAATTGGGCAAATTTCTACATAGTAGAAATACATAAAATTTTAACATTAGATAGCCTAGTTTCTTGTCCGTTTTCATATAAAATTTGATGCCTTTTTGTATTTCTAGTACTTTATTAATAAAAAAAATGAAAGTTGATTAAGTTTTAAAATGTTTATGGTATTTAAAAATTTACACAATAAAAAGGAAAATAAAGCATATGAATCTCAATACTTTAACACATCTAGATTTTATTTCTTTCATTATTTTTTTTCCTAAATTTAAATTGTGATTGGAAAAAGGAGACTAAAAAACATGCAGTGCATCCAAAAAATAAATCAGAGTTGGAAGTTGCAGTGAAAGAAAAATGGTTAAAAATACCTTACAAAGCTTTAGAAAAACTCATTGAAAGCATGTCAAGAAGAATTGTGTCATGCATTTCTAATGATGGGTGGCCCCACTAGATATTGGTTGTTGTTTTTTCAAATCGACTTTTTGAAAATCTTTTCAAAAAAAAGTATTTCGTTTTTTTTATTAATAAAGTACTAGAATACAAAAAAAATCAAATTTTATATGAAAACGAACAAGAACCTAGGCTATTTAATGTTAAAATTTTGCGTAATTAACGAAAAACATCGTTCACAAACTTTTGTCCAGGTAGTGTAGCTCCTTGTATGGCAGATGTGTTGAGGTAATTTATTATCACCGTGGGCTTTCGCAGTCTCTCCAAGATCGAAACCATTATTTAGTAGACAAACCAACCATCAGTATTGGCATTTGGCCGTCTGCCCTCTTTGACCAACAAATATATGTAAAATAGTGTGACAGCTTTATATCAAAATTGAATGGTCACGGCCAAATGCTAGCACTAGACCCAAGCAGAATATATGTAACAATCAATAGTTCTAACGGAAGGTTGCTCAACAAATCTCGAAACCTTAATCATTAACAAAAGAATATAATGACTCAAAATTTTTAATCTAGTCAATAGCATAAATTGATTAAAACGAGTAAATAAATATACTCTTTGCTGTTTCTTCTCTGCCCAACGTGTTTCATCCTCGTGATTTTCCTTGTTATATATTTTTTCCAAGTAAATAAAAACAAATATTTTGTTTAAACTAGCTCTCAAAACAATTGCGCTCTGTCCGATAATACTCACCCGTATATATTTCCCTTCTTCCAAATATGAGTCTTTTGTTCGTCAACGGGGGGGGGGGGGGTTTAAAATTTTGCTTGTATGTACGAAGAATTCCTATTACTATGTTTTTATTTTTATTTTTTGTATAAAACAATTTATTTTTTAGATGAAGGAAGAGTTTAAGGCAAGGGATCGGGCGTTAATTGAAATCATGCCAAAAGTATTATTGTTTGGGCATGGTACGGCTTTGAAGGAGAAGAGTTATTTGTTAATAACCAGAGATATATCTTTTTTGTATTGATGCCTTTCTTTTTATAAATATCTCATTGAAACCAAACGTGGAGTGGAATTTTCCGTGTCTCTAGGTATCGGTTATATAGATTCTTTATCATAACAAATGATTGGTACATAATCACCATTGATATTAAAGAATAATAAAGATTAAAGAAAGGCAACACGGCTTTGAAGGTCTGAAAGAAAGCTTGCTCTTGGACAATCTGGAACATCAAGAAACAATTCAACACGGAACATTTGATTATGGGAAGTTGACAGATGTTGAAGTGTACTACCTCAAATATCTGAACACTATAGTCATTCTCACATTCCTCGGTACATAAGGTTAACCTGATCTTGAGACCCCCATGACACAATGATGCAACTAAATTCAGGAGGGAATGCTTGAGCCTGGAGTTTATCGAAACCGCATTGTTATCAAGGAGATGTTAAAATATCTTGTTTGTCTGAAGTCTACCAAACTTGTTCAATTGCTTCACAACTGGAAACCATTCCATAGTTATGGGTGTGCAATTGCACAATGCTTGCTTGTTTGTGGAAGGTAGTATCTTTTTTTCCAACCCGAAGAGAATTATTTGGTAAGAATAAAAAATTTTGTTTATTTTACATATAAGAAGCTATTTAATTTCAATACAATAATTGAATTCATTATTGTTTTTTGTTATTTATTTATTTTATGATATATGCTACTAAAAAATAACTTTTTGGTGGCGACGAAGCACTTTCTTTTTTCATTTAATATTTAGTTAGTGTGATGAAGATCACACTGTTGATTACTTTTGTAAGAAAAGCATCATTCTCTTATCATCCTGTTTTTTGGATTGTACCATTGTTTTGATTACTTTTTAAGGAAAGTGTTATGCATTTAGTTTGTTAGTTGACAATTGGATAAATTGTTAAATGCTAAAAACATTTTACTATTTATGAATTATCATTTGTCCTGGGTTTTTTTGGATTGTACCATTGATTTAGAAAGCATTATGGTTTAATTATTTGTTTATTACTAAATATGCTAAAAAACATTTTTTACTATTATTATCATATGTCCTGTTTTTTTTGGATCATTGATTTGTTTATATACTTTTAAGAAAAGCATTATGCATTTACTACAATTGAATTTATTATTCAGTTACTTCTTAATTAATTGACAATTGAATTGATTATTATTACTAAAATCAAGCATTGTGTGTTTAATTAAATTGATAATTGAATTGTTTATTTGTTTATTACTAAAATGCTTTGAACACATCTATGCATTCATTTCGCAAAGCTGGATTGCAAGCTTCATAGATCTTGACTAATGCTTACTTCAATCAAAACCACCTATATGATTATTTAATAATTGATAAAGCATTCATTAAATATATTTTACAAATAGCTTCATAGATCTTACTTTGATCAAACCCATCTATGATTATTGAATAATAAAACATTCATTTTGGAAAACTTGATTTGCAAATAGATCTTGACCTTGGCACTTATTTCAATCGAACCTGCCTATATTTGAATAATTGATAAAACATTCATTAAATATATTTTGCAAACAACTTCACAGATCTTACCTTAACACTTATTTCAATCACTCCTATACAAAATATTGAATAATTGATAAAACGTTCATTTGCAAAACTTGATTTGCAAATTTCATAGATCTTGTATTTAACACTTACTTTGATTGTGCCTATACAAACTATTGAATAATTGACAAACATTCATCATTATACTTTACAAACTTCTTTGGGAGCTTTGTACATTGACATACATCTTGTATTAACAGTTATTTCCACAAATTCACCAACTCTACTTTTTCTATTGAATTATTTTGAATTTTTATTTTTTTAGATTATGCAGGATTACACAATAAAAATTATGGAATAGAATTTGTCCAATGAAATGTTGTAAACTGTATATATCCCATGTGCAACTTGAAAAAAGTTGGTATATAAGATTCATTTTTCCATTACTAGTATTCATCTTGGGGTAAGACATGCAATGGTGAACCCATGTAACTCACTTAAATGTGTTATTAAAGTCCAGCAAATGAGATAATGGAACTCTTGCTGGTGGCTCATGCTGGGTGGGTGTATTGACCCTTTGTGACATGACTAAGGTTGCTTGCCAAAACCTCTTAGTGACTATCAAAACTCTGTTGAAACTCTAATGAACAATTAGTATATACCTTGTCAAAACTCTGATGATTGACAAAAACCCCAAATTTGAAACTCTGCCAAAACTCTATTTAACAATTAATGTGTAACCTGTCAAAACTCTGTCAATTGATTTCTGGAGGAGTTTCACCCACAACCTTAGACATGACCTCTCTCTTTTGTTAATTTTTATTGTTTATTTTATTTAGAGATAAAATTCATTAATTGATTTGATTGGTTACATTTGTAATATATGAAGATCCATCAATTATGAGAAAACATTATTATTATAGCAACAAGTAACAAACAACAGCAATGAATCATCATTTTTTGAGGATGATAATAAAGATTAAGATCTGATATTGTTTCATGAAAATATTCAAGTTTTTCAAAAAAAAATGAGGGAGGGAATCCCTATAAAAAATTTGGTACGGAAAATGCATGGAAAATGTACGGAATTTGTACAGTAAAACAGTACATGAACCGTATTGTTTTACGGAATAGGTACGGAAAAAATGTACGGAAT